TCCAGAATATATATCTATCTATCTATCTATCTATCTATCTATCTATCTATCTATCTAACCCCTTTTTCATATCTATCTATCTATCTATCTAAATTTATCCCTTTAATATATATCTTGAATATCTAAATATCTATCTATCATCTATTTACAATCTATCTATCTATCTATACAAACATGTCTGTCTATCTCAGCCTATTTATGAATCTCATCTATCTATCCTATACATATATATATATATATATATATATATATATTCATACACATGGTCACACATATATATATATATATATATATATATATATATATATATACATATATATATATATATATAATTTATATATATATATGCCTATTCATATATATATCTATATCAAATTTTAATTATCATATCTATCCATCTATCTATCTATTTCTTACATATCTATATCATTTTTTTTTATATCTATGTATGTATCTATTTATTTTAGCCCATTTTCAATATCTCATATCTATCTATCTATCTGTTATCTATCTATCTATCAAGGCCAATCTATCTATCTATCATATCAATATCTATCTATCTAATATCTAATATCTATCAAATCTATCTATTTATATCTATATTATCTATCTTAATCTAAATCTATATATCTATCTATCTATCTATCTATCTATCTATCTCAATTATTAACCATTTATCTATTTATCTATGTGTACAAATCTATCTCAGCCTATCATATTTTTGTATCTATGTCTATCTATCTATCTCTTTATCCCCTTTATTACCGCTTTTCATATCTATCTATCTATCTATCTATCTACTGTTTTGATAATGCAGTAATACTTATTAAACAAATTTAAAGCGATTACACATTTTAGAAGCGATTCATAATAATTTTCCCAATAATCAACAAAATCCTATATAATTTAGAAACATGCAAAATGTATTTATATTCTTAGAACCCTTAAAACTATATGTTCACATGACAGCGCAAACTTGAAAATAAAAAATTCAATTACATCCGCATAAATTCTAATATATGGAAATAATTCTATCAGGTAAAATATTTTAATATATAATCGTCATAGTTTGTCTAATCTCAGGAGAAATTCCTTTTTTGTCCATCTTGGAAAATTTAAAGTATTAACATATCTCATTATATATATATAAATACATTTTTATGTTTATGCATTCCCTTTATAGATACAAATATTTAAGTAAATGCTCTGTTTTATAATAAACAGTATTAATAACATTTACCGGCCTGAATGTCCGAGAAATCTTCATAGAAAATATTCGTCCTCCGACAGGAATCGAACCTGTATCCTATACGGATCCGTCATATAGCCTGACGTACCTTAACCGATTGAACCACATATGATCGTTCGGTTAGCAAGGTCGATTTTACTGTCTTTAAACTACAATCTTCCATGAATCTCTCACGTATATTCATATCTGCTAATGGCGTATCAAATGTAAACAAATGACGTCACACATTATGAAATGAACAAAGTCCGACAATTATTTTAAGACATTTTTATAGATAGAAATATTTAAGTAAATGCTCTGTTTATGATAAACAGTATTAAGCAACATTTACCGGCCTGAATATTTACTTAAATAGTTTATCTATAAAAAGAATGTATAAACATAAAAAATGTCTTAAAATAAAATATCGGATTTTGTCCATTATATATATATATATATATATATATATATATATATATATATATATATATATATATATATATATATATATATATATTTTTTTTTTTTAAAAGAGTCTGTCGTGTATGCACACCAGAAAGAGGGGGTTGCAGAAGATTTGTACAATATGTTAGAGAGATAGAAGAAAATAAGGAGACCTTTCAGTGGATAGATCAAGGTAAATGGAGCAATCGTCAGATTGACATTACATTTGAATAGTTGTAATTATAGCTCTCAGGGAAACTGGAATAGGGAGGGGTGTTCCACAGGCGAGAGGTGCGAGTTATGAAGCTATTAGAGTAGAAGAGGCGGCTACATTTAAAAGTTTCTACAGTGAAAGGGTGAGAGCGGGATGCCAGCCTCTTAGGGCGCTTGAATTCATGGAGTCTGGGAACAAGTGAAAGCAGCTTATCGGAGCAATTACCATGAAAGTATTTGTAAAAAGACAGAGAGAGGCGACGATACGTCTGTGAGAGAGCGACTGTAGACGAGATGCCAGATCAGGGCCAATTATATTAAATATCCGCCTCTGGATCTTGTCAAGAACTCTGAGGTAGACAGAAGGTGCCCCAGACCATATATGGCAGCAATGCTCCATGCAAGGGCGGATGGTTGATTTGTATATTTGAAGTATCGATTCCGGGGAGAAAGATTTCCTGGCGCGGCACAGAGAGCCAACTTTCCTCGCGGTGGAAGAAGCAATTGACTCAATGTATTTGTTCCATCTCAGGTCAGCAGTCAACGTGAGACCGAGCAGACGCAGGGAGTTGCTCTCAAGAAGTTGACTATAAGACATTCTAGTGGTGGGGGGGGGGGGCAGGGAAGGATCTCTATGGTGATTAATAGAGAGTAGTTTAGTTTTTGAAGCGTTAAAGTTGACCAGCCAATTCTTGCCCCAATTAACAACCGATTGGTGGTCCATTTCAAGACGAGCGGCCAGGTTAGTTTTGTCAGCGACACTAGATTTGTTTTTGAGGCAGGAATAAATTGTAGTGTCGTCCGCGTAGATGCCAACTTGGGAATCTATGGCGTCAGGAAGGTCGTTGATGAAAATAAGGAATAGAGTGGAGCCAAGGATGGAGCCTTGGGGAACACCTGCGTTCGTGGGATTGGAACTGGAGGACGACCTTCAATACACGGTTTGACAGGAATGGTTGTATTAGGTCAAACAATCGACCTGTAATACCATAACCCTGGAGCTTGCGAAGAAGGCCGGCATGCCAAACCCTATCAAACGATTTGGAGATGTCTAGGGCCACGGCACGAGCCTCACCGTTATTTTGAAGGGCTTGGTAGACGGTTTCAGTGATGGACGTAAGCATATCAGCTGTAGATCGGGCGTAGCGGAAACCATATTGCCTGTCTGCGAGAAGGTCGTGAGGTAAGGTGGTTAACCACTTCGGCGTTGATTAAAAATTTCGAAGACTTTGCCGAAGACATTTATATATATATATATATATATATATATATATATATATATATATATATATATATATGCATGTTTCATTAAAAACGACAGGCAAGGTACTACGGTTAAGATTTTTATTTAATTTTTCTACGAACAAAGCCACAATGTGCTAACCGTATTCGGAAATTAAAAACATCCTTACTACACACCAAGACATACACATAACGCACACACTCAATTAAGCAGAAAAATCGAATCATCCTTGATAATGGCTAAAGGTATAGCCGAAAGCGCTCGGAAATATAAAACATTTGAACAGTTCTTACACACCTTTGCTCAGAAAAGAAAGCTCTTGTTCGAACACAAGAAAAATAAATAAAAAGCTTAACCGTACTACCTTGTCTATCGTTTTTAAGGAAACATGCATAAACGAAGGATTGTTAATAAAATATTCAACTATCATATATATATATATATATATATATATATATATATATATATATATATATATATATATTGATTTTTGTTCTCCTGCGGTCACTTAAGCGACTACGGAATAAGATATGTGACATTTTTCCCCAACTTTACTCAACATTATTTAATTTATTTCTATGTATTAAATATTGTTTTTTCTCTTCAATAGTAAATGTGTTATCTTTAAACTTTTTAAACGTAAAAACTGTTAATTTCATGTTTATAAGATGAGAAATATTTGCATTTTTCTTTCTCTACGATAAGAATCTCAATTCATGTATAACTCTTTACAGTCACTGTTAATTTTAATTCGAAGCGACTGTTTTTTCCTCAATAAATGCTAAAACCTTTTTTCATCTTTCTTGGCTTACGTAATTTTACCAATCTCGTTACGTATTGGGACAGCAAATAAACATTCAAATCTTTAGATGCTAATAATAACAGTCGACGGAAAGCATCAGGCAGAAATAACAAGTTTCTTTGTTTACCGGCACATCAACTCTACATGGGTCATTTAATGCCGAAATTTAATTTTCTTGGGAGTATTAGTAATTATTTATTTATTTTTTTTACACATATGTATTATTGAAAATTGTTTTTCCTATAAAAAGGAATAGTTCTATTTTTACTATAAAGCTATACATTTATACTTTCATAGTGTTTTATAGTAAACTAGTAGAAAACAGAATGTATACGTCATCAGTAAAAGGATGAACCCGAAATGTGATTTACAGGTCGGGGGACACTAAAATCAAATATGTCCGTATGTTTAAGTATCTGGAAAGTGTTCTGACGGAGGACGGTAGGTGCAATGCTGAGATCCGTAGACTGATTGCGATGGCCAAAGACACATTCCAAAAGCAAGAGTACTGCGAGACATGAGGATTTCTTTGGTGACAAAAGAGTACTGACGGTCTCCTCAAAGATAAAGAAGAAAGTCGACACAGCAGATGTCTAATTCGAAAGAAGGATGCTAAGGATATCATGGGGCGAGCGTGTGAGCAACGACGAAAATGCAAACAAGGAGCAAGCTTATAATTAAAATAAGGAAGAGGCAGATGAAATTTCTGGGACACGTAATGAGAAAGGAGAGCCTGGAGAATCTGATACCCACATGTCGAATAGAGGGAAAAAGAGACAAGGGAAACAACGCTAGACATAACTGGCAAGCTTAAGCAAGTCGATATCAGAACTCTGGGAAAAACCAGACTATGTTATGCCATTCTCTTGTTTCTCTGCAGAGGCAAGGAACTTATTGAGATCCACAATGGATAAGGGGAAGTGGAAATCCATGATCGCCTACTGAAAGGACACGGCACATAAAAAGAAAAAGACGTCTTTTTAGTACATTATTTACATTATTCGGACTATTGTCCCTCATCTTTGTCGCCTTTTTATTACAACGTTTCGGCCGTTGTACGCTCCGGTCTTCTTCAGGTGGTTGAATAAACAGGTCGAAATTTTTATTTGGCTCACTGAGGTAGAATGTTTTTTAAACGTGCCATGTTTAATGGATGTCAGTT